CTCTGTTATAAAGTTTGAGACTCTGTTGTACAGATGTAATGGCTCCCAGTATTGAAAGGTGGTTTACTAATACCTTGATATCACATGTACTTCTATATTCATCTGCTAACATTTTTTGGGGTCACTTGTGAGATCTGGCCTTTGGGAGGAATGATCAAGGACACCATACTGGCCCACTGCAAGTGGGATTACTGCAAGTCCTTTTTTTTCCCCTTCATTCCAGTCCTGTGGCTTGAACTCAGGTCTTACCACTACTGTCCGTGAGCTTTCATGCTCAAGGCTAGCACTCTTGTCACTTGAGCCACAGCTCTACTTCTGGGATTTTGTAGCTAATAAATGACTCCCATGGATTTTCCTGCCCAGGCTGGCTTCCAAGTAGCTAGATCTCAGCCTCTCAAGTAGCTAGAATTACAGGCATGAACTACCAGAGCCTGACTGCCTCCAAGTTCCTAATGAGCTTGACCTTCCAAATTTCCTGTTGACAACAGTGTGGTCCTGTGGTCATTTGCTGTCTCCTCATTTCCTCCTCCCCAAGGGCCCAGGCCTGGGTGCAGTGCTCTTCTTCCTGGGAAAGGTTCTGCAGAGGGTGATATGACTGACTCCTTCTCTCCAGGTGGCAGCAAATGTTGCAATCACCTTGCTCACACAGGGCCTATGATGTCCTCAGGTAGGTGGTGGGCAGGAAATGTGGAGCTGGCATGAATCTCCATGTAGTCTGGGCCAATTATCTTTCTAAGGGTGTTGTAGATATGATTACCTTCTCCTGTATAATGCATAATCTGCCATTCAGGTTTGCTTTGCAATTTCCTGAGTGCACTTGCTATAAGGGGTCTGGCTTGGAACTGAATTCATACCTGCAGGCCACATCTTTATGTCTGGTGATGCTAGAACATGCGCATTTCTACTCTATAGCATCTTTTTCTTTCAATTTTATTGTAAATGGCTGTACAAAGAGGTTACAATTCCATAAGTAAGGTCATGAGCACAACGCTTTTCAGTCAATGTCACCCCTTTTCTACCATTATCCCCATTTTCCTCTGGCCCATCCCTACACTTAGGTTACAAAGTTCAATTTTTATATACTGTATATTGGTTATAATCACATTTGTTCACCTTTCCTCCATCAATTCATAACATATTCAATAAAATAATGGCAGAAAAAAATCCCCAATCTCAAGTAGAGAAGGTCATGCATGTGAAGCAGGCTTATAGAACACCAAACAGACATGGTTAGAGAAGAAACATGACTTGACATATTATGGTGTAAATACTAAATACTAAATATGCAGAATAAAGAATATTGAAAGCAAGAGAGTCAGCAAGTAACTTACAATGGCAACCCTTTTGAATAACAGAAGACTTGAAGGGCATGGAAGGCTGTAATTCAAGCCCTGAGGAATAATAATTGCCAACCTAAAGAAGTAAAAAACAGAGATGTTATCCTTCATAATTGAAGGAGAAAAGAAAACCTTCCATGAATAACGAAAGCTAAAGGTACTCATGACTATTAAATCACCACTGTAAAAGATACTAAGAGAAATCCTATCCACAGAAGAAAAAGCAAAACAAAACAGGAAAATACAGGAAATGATAAACCTTACCAGATTAGCATAGCAGGAAAGAAGCAAGTACCATAAAAACAATAAAATGACAAGCAATGGGAAATATATTTCAATACAATATTGAATGTTAATATTTTTAAATCTCTGATCAAAAGACACAGAATGACAAGCCAACCATATATTGCCTATAAAAAACACATCTCTCTGACAAATACAGGCTTGGGTAAAAGGATTAGAATCTAAGCAAATGGGTGCCAAAAGCAGGTAGGAACAATTATACTTCCATCTGAAAAAATAGATTTCAAAATAAATTAATCTGAAGAGGCAACAGCCACTTCATGTTAATAAAGTGAATGATTCACAAGGGGGAAATTACAGTTGTTAATGTATATGCACCAAAAAGCAGTGCATTCAAGTTCATTAAACAAACACTTCTGGTAAGTCCAGAAGCATTGACAGCTCTCAGTACAATAACAATGGAAGACTTCACTACCTCAGCCTCACCAATAGAAAGATCATCCAAACAAAAATATCAATAGAAAAACTTCAGAACTAAGTGACCCCATAGACCAAATGGACTCAGCAGACATCTAGTGTTTTCTTCCAAAGTGGCATAGCACACTCTGAGCAGTCCATCGAGTGTCTCCAAAAGGGGTCATTCTTGCTGGATGCTGGTGGCTCATAACTGTAATCCTAGCTACTCAGGAGACGGAGATCTGAGGATTGAAGTTCAAAGCCAGCCCAGGCAGGAACATCTATGAGATTCTTATCTCCAATAAACCACCAGAAAACCGGAAGTGACATTGTGGCTCAAGTGGTAGAGAACTAGCCTTGAGCTGAAGAGCTGAGGGACAGTGCCCAAGCCCAGAGTTCAAGCCCCATAACTAGAACATAAACAAACAAAAGCAAAACAAACAAGAAAAGGGTCATACTCTAGAACACACGTTTCAGCAAATGTAGTACCCTTATAAACTCCCACTATAATTGAATTAAACTCTAACTCAACAGCAAAAAATACTATACAAAGTATTCAAACACATTATTGAATGACAAGTGCATCACTGAAGAAATAAAGGAACAATCAAAAAAGTTCTTGAATCCAATAAAAATGAAAAGACAGTTTCTTCTACAATAAAAAGCACAGTATCATTGTTGTTCTGAGATGATTTTTTTCAGTACTGAGATTGTATGTGAAGCCTTGTGCTTGCTAGGCTTTTCCTTTGCCACTAGAGCCAGGCCTCCAGGCCTGCTTTGATTTTTTTTTTTTTACTGCATAAAGTTGAGATTTAATTTATAAAAAATTGACAAATTCTTGTACATATAAATGAAGACATTCCACTGGAAGAAAATAATTTCAACAAAGCAGTTTATGAATGCGGTGCCTCTTGACCAGTGTTACCCCCTTCAACATTGTTATTCCCCTTAACCTGCCCTTTCCCTTACTTTTCTTAATCTTCTGGGATGTACAAGGAATTCTTGGCTGCAATCTGATTGAAAGCATATTCTTTTATTTATTTTGTTTCCCTCTAAAATACAAAATGTGAAAATAAATTATTGGAATGGAATCTGCTGGATATTCACCAAACGTGCTTTCTCTTTCTGGGTTACTAGCTCAGTGTCATTTTCCAACACTGGTCTAGTCAATAAAATATGACCAGAAGTGGTTTACATCTATCTCTTAAAGGCCTAGATTCTAAATATTCTCCCATGATTTTTTTATTGTGAACATACTGTACAGAGGGGTTACAATTACATGGGCAAGATAATGAGTACATTTCCTATCAAGCATTGTAGCCTCCTCCTTTGTTTACCCTTCACATCCCTTCCCAGCCTCCCTCCACTCCCCCACCCAATCCTCCGCCCCATACCAAAGTTGTAAAGTTCGTTTTCGACATGACAACTTGTACCTGCTTTGATTCTTGACAGGATCTCTCAAACTATTCTCTCAAAACTGACTTGTGCTTGACTTGTTCTGTGATTTTTGATGCCTTTTGTTTTTTTTTGTTGTTGTTGTTACTGATTTTCTTTTGTGATCTATGCTGGTCTTGTTCCTGGGCTAGGTTAGCTATAGGTAGAAACTTCACCTTCAGACCTACTTGTGAGAATTTACTGGAGGTCTTTATACACGACAGGGGAGCATAACATCTGGATCCACCCATTTTCTACTCCATCTTTTCTTTCCATTACAGAAAACTCTCCTGGGCAGTCTTGTCCTCGCCACCTTTATGATTTCATGCAATGTACATTTCTATTTTATATCCAGATTAGTATCTGTAATGTGACAGTATGGTGGTAAGTCCTAGCTTTTCTCTGTGTATTATTTTAGGATATGTTATCATATTAAACCAGTAGGGCTCTTGGCCCTTTATTCTACCTGGGAAGTATGATAGGGGCAAATATGGAAATGGAGTAAAAAGAAGGACTTCAATTATCCAATCTATACCATAGTCTCAATTCTAACTATATGAGAAATGCCTAGAGAACTTTTAAACTTTATCAGTGATAAGGCTCCATCTAAGACCAGAGGTATCAGACTTTCTGGGGTTGGAGCCATGAATTTAAAAGCTCCTTATTGACTCCCCTCTCATGCAGCTAGGGTTGAGAACTATGGTTTACTAGCTTTAATGTGCATGACCATGCCCAAGCTCTGGTCAAAGTGCAGCTTCTGAAAAGCATATCTGAAAGCAGCTAAAGGAGGTCAATGTTCAGGGCCAACCCAGGAGATCTGATGCTGTCAGTCCTTCGAGCCCCTTCCCCCACTCCCAGTTTTGATCATTTTGACACTGGGAATTATAATTGGGGCTTGCTAAACACATACTCTCCCACTGAGCTATAGCACCAGCCCACAATATTGTCTAAGTAACTCATTTCATGTGTGTACCCAGGACGGAAAGTCACATCATTGCAAAGTAAAAGGAAGTGGAGGAATCTTCCAAATTAAAGAGGAGGGCTCTATTTATTCTTGAAATGTGTGTTCTGAAATACAATCTCAAGGATTCAAGCATGCTATTAGAAACGTTATCAAGCTATCCTCTGGTGGCTCATTCCTGTAATCCTAGCTACTTAGGAGGCTGAGATCTCAGGATCTTGGATCAAAGCCAGTCCAGGCCAGGAAGTCTGAGACTCTAATTTCCAATTAACTAAAAAAAAAAACCAGAAGTGGAGCTGTGGCTCAAGTGGTAGGGCACACTAGCCTTGAGTACAAAAGCTCAGGGACAATGCCAAGGCCCCAAGTTCATATCCTAGGACTAGCACAAAAGAAGAAAAGAAAAAAAACATTATCAATGTTATGGAATGCATTGGGATTCAACTAGGGTGAATATAGAAACGTTTTCTTGGATATCTGTAAAATCATCTATTTTCCTGTGGTAGGTACTGGCCCCCATTCTTGAAGCATGACACTAGGTCTCTGCTGTTGATGCCTGTGTGTTGTTTCAGTATGCAGTAACCAGATGTGAACTGAACTCAATTTGGGAGACAGAGAAATGTGAGGAGTGTTTTTGCATACCAAGTGGAATTCAATGCTGCAACAAGTAAGTCTCAGGCCAGTGGTATGGGGTGGGGGTGGGGGGGAGGTAGTCATTTCTAAAGTGCAACTGCCCCCTCTCAAAATCCCCTTTCCTCAGCTTATGTTTTCTTTTGTATTTTGAAACGGGGGTCTATGTTGCCCAAGCTGGTCTTGAATTCCTGGGTTCAAGTGATGCTTGCCAGTAGCTGGGACTACAGGTTATGTGCCAGACTGGGTTTTCTTTATCAGATTCACAGCCCTTGATACTAAGGTTTGTACTTGCTAGACAAGTGCTCTACCACTTGAGCCACATGGCCAGTCTTTTTTGTTTGTTTGTTTTTTTAGGTTATTTTTTCAGATAGGGTCTCTTTTATGCAGGCTAGCCTTAAAACAAGATCTTCCAACCTATGCCTCCTGCATACCTAGGTTAATAGGTTTGTACCACCAGGCACAGCTTATTTGTTGAGATGGGGTTTTTGCTAAGTTTGTGACTGGACTAGCCTCAAACCATAACTCACCTGATCTCCATTCCCTGAGAAGCTGGGTTTATAGGCTTAAGCTAGTTAAGAGGCTAGGTAGAGTAGTGTAGACAGTGAAAATGAGCAAGGTACAGACAACTTTCAATACACACACACACACACACACACACACACACACACACACACACACACACACACACACATCTCCTGGTTTTCCAGTCACACACCCAGCCTCTCCTGTTATCAACACCCCTGCTACAGGGCACATTTTTAATAGGGAATGAATCCACACCAATCTTTATTGACATTGTCCAGTATAGAGTACACATGAGCATTCACTCAATGCTGTGGGGGATCCTGGTGTCCAGATAGTTTTCAGTAGTATTCCTTCAGGTACAATAGATCAATTTTCCATGGTAAGTACTGCGTATTTGGCTCTGTGGCATGAAGTTCATTCCTGTCATTGGCAGCCATCAGCACCACTTTTCATCTTGTGAAAATGCAGCTCTGGAGCTGGAGTTCAAGACTAGTGTTTGCACAGCATAGTGAGAATCCCACCTCAATAATCTCAAAAAAACGGATGGACATCGGTGGCCCACAAAAGCCTATAATCCTACTCAGGAGGCTGAGATGTGAGGATCGTAGTTAAAAGTCAGCCTGAGCAAGAAAGTCTGAGCAAATCTTATCTCCAGTTAACCACGCAAAAAACTAAAAGTGGAGCTGTGACTTAAGTAGTAGAACACCATCCTTGAGAGTATAATAAAGGTCAGGGACAGCACCCAGACCTTGAGTTTCAAGCCCCAGGCTTAGCACCAAAAAAACAAAAACAAAAACAAGGGGCTGGGAAGGTGGCTCAGTGGTAGAGCGCTTGCCTTGCATGCATGAGGCCCTGGGTTCGATTCATCAGCACCACATAAGCAAAAAGAAAAAAGCCGGAAGGGGCGCTGTGGCTCAAGTGGTAGAGCGCTAGCCTTGAGCTGAAGAGCTAAGGGACAGCGCCCAGGCCCAGAGTTCAGGCCCCACGACCGGACCCCCCCAAAAAAACAAAACAAAAAAACAAGACATCGCAAAAATAAAACAAAACAAAAATAACCTATCAGGGCATGGCAACATTCCTAGCACTCTAGAGGCTGGAACTAGAGAATGATGAATTTGAGGCCAGCCAGGGTTACATATCAAGACCTTGTCTTAAAAACATAATCTTAAGCAAACTAACCTGGAAAACAAGAACCCAAAGCTTAGCCCAAAGTTGGTACCCATCAATCATTCCCTAGAGCATTTTCCCATCAGTCCCTGGCAAATGCCATTCTCCATTCTATTTCTATGAATGGGAGTACTGTAGGAAGCTCCCATAGTGAAATCGAATAGTATTTGTCCTTTGGAGAACAGTGTCCTACACTAAGCACAATGTCCTTAAGATTTATGCATTTACAATGTACCAGAATTTGCTTTTCCAGGACTTTAATACTCCTTTTTATGTATATGCCATCCATGCTACATATTCATCTCTTGATGGACACTTTGAACTGCTACTGACTCAGTTTTATGTATTTTTATGCCTGGTGATACTGAGGTTTGAACTCAGAGCCTTGCACCTGATAGGCAGATGCTATACCACTTGAGCCATGCCTCTAGACTTTTCTGCTTCATTATTTGTTTAATAGTATTGCACTTTTCCCTAGAATGTGAGTCTCCTATTTATGCTTCTTGTATAGCTGAGAAGACAGTTGTATGCATGTCACCTCAGCTTTTTATTGCTTGAGACAGAGTCCCACCAACCTTTAACTTCAAACCTCCTGATTTTAGCTTCCTGAGTAGCTGAGACTACAGGATGAACCAACAGACCTGCCTCATTTTTGTTTCTGAAATTTGGTCAGTATCGTTACTCTTAAAGACTTATATTCAAATAAATATCTAAATGTTTATTAATGCTGTTCTAGAAGTTGGCCTGGTGGTCACTCTAGCCTTGATCTTGGAGATTTCTAAGAACAGAAAAGATCTGAGCACAGGCAGAAGGAAGAGCTGAGAGGTGCACTTGATGACATGCCATGTGCTTACTGCTTTACTGTCCTTATGATGGCCCAAAGGTCATGTAAGTGTTCTCTGCTGGGTTGCTAGTAGAGGTGAAAGGTGTCTATGAACAGGTGGGACACAGAGCACCTGAAGACACACCCACCGCAGCCATCTCTTTCCCAGCATCTCCAAATGTACCTGATGTCTCCCTGTCACACAGCCTTGGTCGTGGTGCTTTGTGAGTACAAGAATGGTTTTATGCTTGTTTTGGCTGTGCTGGAGTTGTAGTGCAGGGCCCTCACTAGTTAGCAAGTGCTCTGCCACTGAGCTATACCCCCAGGCCAGTAGGAACAGTTTGGGCAACAGCAGCACTGTGTCAGGTAGCACTTCCCAAACTTGCCTCTCAGAGTAAGCATGTGACTCATCAGAAGGCTGATTCCTATCAAGTGCAAATGTCCAGGGTTCTGCCCACAGTGTAGAGCAGGCCTCACAGCAAATGGTCAGAGAAGGAAGGATGCAACCTGGAAGACTTGTAGGGCAGGCTTCCTGGAGTAGGCTCCTAGGCTGTGCATTGGCCTGGTATAAGTCAATCTTGATTTTTGTATCTCTGGGTGTTTGACCTAGTCTTTGCAGCAAAAGCCATTGTGACCTAGATCTACATCAGGTTAAGAGTTGCTGGACCATGAGACCTTCTTCTCGGCTTCCCTTGGATCTCCAATAGAACAGAACCAGGAGTGCTATTGGCAGAGAAGCAGAAAGAGCCTCAGGACTGAGGCTGGATTGGAATCTCTATTCCTTGTACATTAGCTATATGTGCTTTGGTATGTTTCTGATTTTCCCCAATGTATAATAAGGATAACCTGGTGGACATGAGAATGAAATAAGATGGTGCACATATACTCATGAAGCCAGAAAAACCACTAGCACCATCTCTATGCCTACAACAGCCTTGACACGTGGTCAAGGTTCAAAGTATCTTTCCTTCTGCTCTGTCATTTGTCTGTGACAAGTCTGGGAAATATGTTTGTTTTTTCCTACTGTTCTTAAGCAACTCTTTCTCTGAAATTGCCACTCAATTAGGTAAAAGGCCAAGGTCATCCAGCCTCCAGTTCTGGAATCTGATTACTGTTTGCCTGTAATGTTTGCTCTGAGTCTCTCTGTTTCTTCTGCAAGGCTAGCTATGGATTGATTTAAAAAAATGCATCCAAGCCAGTACCAGTGGTTACTATTCTCATCCTTGCTTCTCAGGGAGCTGAAATCTGGAGAATCTAGATTTAAGGTTAGTCCAGCTAGAAAAGTTAGGTAGATACCATACCCAAAATAATCAGAAAAAAGTAAGACTAGAGGTTTACACATGGTAGGATGCCAGTCTGATAAGTATGAGGCCCTGAATTTAAATGAGTACCACCAAGAAAAAAATAATGAGAAGCAATGCATCTAGTAATATGTCCCACATTAGATGGCAGAATTATGTAATTTTATTTCCTACCAGAAACTTGGTAATTAGGCATTCCTTCAATAACCACTACTTTGAACATTTGTATTAGAATAAATATGTTATATACAATTTTTACTTTAAACAGTTTGAAATATACTACTTGGTTTATGAGGTTCATTACATTTCCAAAACGTTAATGATCCCAAACCAACCCATGCATTCTTTAAGCAATAATTCCATTATCCTTCCCTGACCTGGTAACCTTTAACTTGTTTTCTGCAATATAAAATTTCCATTCTAGATATTACTATCTGTCTGTCTATCTATCTATCTATCTATCTATCTATCTACCTATCTATCTATCTACGTTTGTGCTGGTCCTGGGGCTTAAACTCAGGGCCTAGGTGCTATCCCTGAGCTCTTCTGCTCAAGGCTAGAGTTCTATCACTTGAGATACAGCTCCACTTCTGGCTTTTTGCTAAGTAACTGGAGATTTAGTCTCATGGACCTGTCTGCCTAGGCTGGCTTTGAATTGCAACCCTCAGATCTTGGCTTCGTGAGCAGCTAGGATTGCAAGCATGAGCTACTGGCACCTGGCTCCTATAAATCAAATCACAATATTTGTCTTTTTTGCCTGTGGCTCATTCACTCATCACATTTTCAGTATTCATCATGCTGAACATGATAGTATTCATTCCTTTCCTTCCTGGAATACTATAGCATGTGATTTTAAGGTCACATTGATCCATTAATTTGTTGATATGTGGGCTGCTTTACTTTTGGTTTGGAGATACCATAGCTATGAACATTAAAATTACAATACCACTGCCCACTAAACCTGTAACATTTTATTCTATTTTTTTCATTTCTGTACCTTTTCTTCTTTTAGATAGTGGACATCAAACCTTATGTTGCAATTTTTGGTTTGATTTAATTTCATTTAGCATTTATACTATTCTATCTCATCAAAATCCTTCAAAGTACCATGTACTTCAACTTAATCATTCCTTAGTCTTAAAGCCTGAGAGCCAATGACACAATTCCAGAGTTTGCTTGCATATACTATGCCAATGAATCTGTGCTGTGCCCAGTCCTCTGAGTTCAGTGCTCAGTACCCTAGTTGGCCATAATAGACTTTTCACCATCTTCCTTTTGTGCCCCACCAACAGCTGAAAATCCAGGTGTGCTGGGGGCCAGACAAAGGACACAAGAGTGACACTGGTCTAGAACAGCTTTGGAAAATATTCTGAAATGTCCTTTGTTACAATATAGGCCAATAAATCTTTCTTTTGAAAAAAATGATCTCAAGGGGCACCAGGATGGCTTCTTCTATACACTTGGGGCAGAACAATTTACACCCAGAGCCTGTGGATGGCATCAAGGGGAACCCTAAAATTCCTTGTGTCACTGAATGCATAGCTGGATTTCCCCACTTCCACCAGCTTCTCCCTGGGCTCCTTGTCCTGGTCTAGGGTGCATCTTCGCTTCTGTTGGTTGAATTAGCTTCTCTTCTAAAGGACGAGGCCTGGGACAACTTTTGCCCTCCTACTTCTAGCAGCATTATTGTGACCACTTCTTGACCAGGAAGGTTGGGAAGACCCTGTCTAGAAAAGTTCCCAGTACCAGAGTAGCCCAGGCCTATCCCTGCCCCTGTTAGCACTTCCTTCCTGCTGTGTGTATGGGAATGCAGGAAGTATGGTAGGGATGGTCTGTGTGACTATAGTACATACAGGTCAGGAACTTGGAGGCCACATTTTCAGGCTGCTAAAGAAATGTTTTTAGGTTGATAAGGGGAACCTCAGCCTGCTGGTGTGTGGACTGCTTTCTACATAGAGCTGTCTGGACAGAGAGGGTGAGGTGGTGCATGTCCTTTCCCTTCTAACAGGTCTTGTTTCAATGACAGAGTTCCTGTGCCTGTGCATTATGACCGAAGCAACTGCAAGACAATCTTCCATCAAGAGTACTGCACCTATAGTGTGGTGGAATGAGGTGACCCAGAAAATACATGCGTTGTTTATAGCTGTGTATTGTAATGGGCTTGGGCTCAGTGCCCCCAGCTCCCAGTTGAAGATGTCTTGGACCTCCTTCCTCTTCCTATAGTCTGATTGTGTAGCACTACTGACTTAAAAAAAAACCCAAAATAAAAAAAACCCCAAACTTTTGGACCATCTTGAAAATATGTGTAAAGTTACCAGTCTTGCACTAATTTAATGCACATTGTGAAGCCTATGAATCTTTCTAGGAGGAGTCAAAAATAGATACAAGGAAAAGTATTAGTATTTTTCTTACTCTCCATAATTCGTTGTTTGTCCTGTCTCTGGAGAGCACAGTCACTTCGGATGGGCTAATGATGTGCTATGTCCTGCTTTCTTTCTGATGCATGATGAAAATGCCTCAAGATGAAATTGTATCCCTTGAGATACTTGTGGTTACCTTTCCTTCCTCTTCCTCAGGGAATGTTCTTTTTGCAGTGTCCCCAAAACTTGTTATGTTTGCTTGAGTTTAAAATGCCCCCCCCATCCCCTGACCGCATGCAGCCTCACAGGACACTCAAAGATTAGGGCTCTGTGGGGGATTGGCCTAGCTGCCAGGCAGCAATAAATAAATATTAGCAAATATTAGCAATATTTGCTAATATTTATTAAGAGCTGCTTTCTCCAGGCTGATTGACAGAGCAGGGCCTAGATATGAATATGAGTCATATCACAAGCAAATACAGCTATCTGCTAAACAGTCAATGGGCAAGTGATTTCCCATGCCCTCAACCCTATGTGTTCAAACAATATGTGTGGGCTTTTTTTAGTTTACATTACTTACACAGATTGGGATTTCACTGTTACATTTCCACACATTTACAAGATTCCAATGTAGACAAAAAGAAATGTTTGACCTGATCTGTCATTTATACTAATCTAATCATCACACATTAAATAAATGTACTGAAACGTAACTCTGTATCCAATACATATGTACAGTACTATTTGGAGATTAGGACTTTGGGGTCACATAAGGTCATAAGGGTAGAATCCTCCTGATGTGCAGAGCCCTTTTGAGATATACAGTGCACACCCTCTCTGCCATGAATTGATTCACTAGATCCAGTCAGTCACAAACTTCAAGGGACCTTCCTCAAGGGTAATGGAATAGGCTAATATTCAGAAGTTCAGATAACAGGATTCTTTATCTCACAAAGGTCTAAATTTTGTACTGTCCACATACTTCTACAGTTTTGCATGTAAAGTGTCTGACCACAATCCTGATTACCATCTCTATATTCACACTGATGAGGCATTAGTTTCAGGACTTCAGCTAAACAATTTCCAAGCCTATGATCCTTGATTCCTCTGCTACATTCTTCCAATCATATCTATTTTTACTTTATTTTACTTTTGGAAACAAAATTTATAAAAATAGGATGAAGGTATCATTTTACTCCATCATTTAGTAATTTTCTTAGACTCTATTATCTGAGTAGAGGACGCAGTCACACAAAATTCTAAAATGATTTTACTCCTTAGAATGCCTTGTAGTGAAATAAATCTAAAGTCATGAATCTGTCTCCTTTAAAACAGACTTGCTTTTCAGAAGAGTTTTAGGCTCTCAGCAACCGTGAGAAGAAAGGACCAAGACTTCAT